TGAGACTTTGATGCACTGATGCACTGATATTGCGAGGTATTTACGCTTTATGTTATCTATTATGGGGTTATGAAGATTCTCGAAGAGGCCTATTATTGGCGAGAAAGAATCGTATAGTAGCGCTGTGAGAACGTTACAACTTACCCAAGAAGGTAGAGATGGTTTCAAGCGAGGATATCAACTTTCATACTCAATAATAGGGGTGAGAAATAGTTTGCTGAATAGCAAAAGCACAGCTATAGCAGTCCACTTAATGTTAATAGTTGGCTTATAAGCCTCAAAGTACTTTAGAGTTGACAATCAGTTGACGTTTTGAATGCCTTTTATGAATCATATTATACATCTGTAGTACTGTTTGACATTCTTCAGTATAGAAAGCTCAAATGTAACAGTCGAACGCAGCACCTGATCATTCCCATTCCTCAGACGGTTGAGATTTCGATAGAATGCTATGACTGGTAGATAATGAGGAATTATTTTGGTTAGTGATCTATTTTATCGTCCGTCACATGCATGCCTGCTTTAACCTTTACTTTTTGACTTGGCCCTTCGAGGGTATCAGGGGTTTAGCTTTGGGTGTGGGGTATAAAATTTAGCGTTGATGGTCCAAGCATAATCAGATCCGTGTAGCTTCAGGATTTCTAGATTCACAAACTCAGCAATTTATTCCTACCTATTCCAACATATACTTCATTTTCAATTGTCTTGCCATACCATACTTCTTGGTCGCAAAATAACAAAATGTCAGTCGACGGACAATCGCCACGAAGAGGCTCTACATCCTCAGCAAATACACCAATCCTTCCGCCAGTATCAGCATTTGCGCAAAAGCGCGCTTTAGAAGATGATCATCAACCTGCAGTATCATCACCTCTCAATCCAGAATTTAAAGTTCAAAAGACTGGAGATGAAACGCCAGGTGGCATTCGTGAACGAGCTTCGAGGGCTAAAAAGGAATCGTTAAAGAAGAGAGAATCGAAGGCAGGATCGCTTGCGCCAGAGGGAAATGCAAGAGCTACCCCAGATTCAAGATCAAGCTCTTCAAACAGAAAGAAAGCCATAATCAATTGCGTTACTCCTTTGCGATACAAGATACCTCCGCCGAAACTACCAGATTTCGAAGCTCCTCGTGGACCGACTCTTGTTCCTTCGCACACCAAAATTGCCCCAGATGGTACTGAAATTCAATTCCATGAGACTACTGATCAGTAAGTTTTACGGCACATACTGTATAAAGATTTAAGCTTATATATATATGTAGCGTATATAACAAGAAGAACTTTCGATATACCCGTGGCATAGCAGACCCAGCTTTTCCTTCGATTCTTTACTATCGACAAACCGAAACGGAACCTTTTGGTGCTCGATTAAGTTTTGAAGATTCAGCTCCCCATATGATGATGGATGAATCGGCGAGACATATTACAACAGATAAGGGTTTCAGAATGGCTAAGGCTAATGTGGGAATAAGGGAAGGTCGTTGGTATTGGGAATGTAAGATCACAAGTGGTGTTCCAAGGTCTAAAGCAGGAGAGCCAGCGCAAGAGTCGCATGGACATGTTCGTATGGGCTTCGCAAGAAGAGAAGCAGCTCAAGATGCACCAGTTGGATTCGATGCTTATAGTTATGGTATCCGCGATGTAGCTGGGCAAAAAGTATGGATGTCTCGACCAAAGGACTTTTTTCCTGCCGGAGAATCTATTTATGAAGGAGATGTTATTGGGCTAGAGATCAATCTACCTTCCGAAAAACTACATCGAAAAGTCGTGGAAGGGAATTACAACCCGGCAGTCGACCTCACTGATGAAGACGACGGCGGAATGGATCGAGCAGATATGATACGAGATCGAGTACCTATTCGATTCAAAACTCACCTCTACTTCGAACAAATCGAATATTCCACATGCAAAGAGCTAGAAGAACTCATGAACCCATCACCAGTGATATCATCGACTGGAGGTGTCGCATCTGCAAGTCAAGATCCCGGACCAACTCATCCTGTACCAGCTCTTCGCACTCTTCCACACTCATCTATTAAAGTTTACAAAAACGGAAAGCTAATCGGAACACCATTTACGGATCTCTTATCTTTCCTTCCACACGCCTCGAAACCACAACCTCAAGTTGGGGCCAGAGAAGGTCTTGATGATGGGATGCTTGGTTATTTTCCCGCCGTATCAGTCTTCCGCGGCGGTGCAGCAGAAGTTAATTTCGGTCCTCGATGGTGGTATCCTCCACCAGGTTCAAGCGCAGAAGATGATGTAGATATGGTAAATGATGAACCCTCTCTACCTAAACTTAGAGCAGCGAGCGATCGATACGATGAGCAAATCGTAGAAGATATTCTTTACGATATTGTCGACGAAGTTGATTTCTGGATTAGAGACGGAGGGGATAGTGGGAAGGGTAAAAAGAGGGATTTACAGTTCGCCGACGGGGGGGCGGCAAATGGTGGGGGACTGGGAGGTGGAGATGCGGGTGGGGAGATTAAGGAATTGGTGCAGGATGATGAATAGGTTGATGGTGAACCTTGTGCAGTGAACATCTTTGGAGATTTTGTGCAAGGTAGAATGGGAACTTTCTTATTTATGGATAAAGGTTTGAAAACGGGAACGGTCACGAACACGGGCATGGATGGCGTCTGCTTGGTGCTATGTCATTGAAATAGGAGTGTTGATTTGCTGGGCATATATTTCTTAGATGGTGGTTGGTTGGTGTGCAAATTTGACTGATGTGTCATGTCAGGAAATTGGAGAGGGCATAATGATGGAGCAATATGGGGATATAATACCAAGATATGAGTTGCTCAAGAAGGAGAGGGATCAAATATATGAACTATAGTTACTCTAATAATATGTAGTGACAAAAGCGTTTTTGACGCTCCCGGGGCATGGGTGATGGATTGGTTTAATATAATTACTCCGCCCTTAAATGTCGGCTTGGATTCCCTTGGAATAGATGGCTATAGGAATACAATAAACAAGTTACCTAGTTATGAAATATGCACTTGTACTGCCAGAAAGAATGCAAACTCCAGATAGATGATACACATGCCAAGAGGACTGATTAACCTGACTTTCTCGGAAACAAAGCGACATACTTTCTAGGGCTCCCCTTTCTGGCAGAAATAGTATCTATATTTTGATATGTTGATATCAGGGGGTTTAGTGACACAAGTGAATACCACTAGGGAAATCGAAACACGTGTGGTATTCTCCTCGCCGGCTTGGTAGGCTCACCGAAGACGGAAAAACTGCCTACACTAGGTTGTGAGCACACCAGATTCGCTAAATTTGAACATCTTGTAAAAAATACTATTATTGTGAAATTGGATAAGAAACCGGAAACATATTAATAATAATCTGATAAATTAGAGATGGATTGTTATTTATAAGGGGGTTGAGATTTCTATATAGTTTTTATATAGGAATATTAGTAATTTGATTTAATGAAGAGGATTGAAGATGTGATACGTTTCTAGTGTGCTAGTTTTTCCGTGCACGGTGAGGTAGGGACTGCCAGCACTAGTACGTATATCCAATCTAACGAGCCGAGTGAGCACAGTAAATTCAACGAAAACAATTCCAATTGTGAACATGGTTGTAGATGGATGGAGGCCTAGGAGCTCAGGGAGATTAGGGGCGTGCTGAGTACCTAATGCGAGTTCGAGGGTTGGAGCACCCTGGTTCCGGGAATTCGAGATCCACAAGGCTGCGCACGATCCTTGAAACTTGGACGGGGACTCTTGGATAGAACGGGATTGGGAACTTAGGAAGACTTTTATTCTTGATGTATGTCGGTACTTGCAATGGGATATGGAGGGAGGTTCTCCGCTCCCGATTCCTGTTTCAGGATTCAGTGTTGGGTGCGAAGAGGGGATCGGGATGTAAAGTTCCCAGCCGTTGGGGTTCTTTGGTGTAGCGGTACGTTTCCCGATGTGATATTCATCTCCAAGGCTTGCTTAAGTGTAGTGGAATCCCCTTGGGTACATAAATTGTAATCAATGATCTGAGCCTCGATCTTCGATTTTATCCTCAAGTCCTTCTATTCCGTCGCCATCGATGGTGATCTAGTGGTTCTTTGACCAAGTTTGATGAAGTTTAGTTCTGATCTATATTTGATCTACAAAACAATAACGTACAACGAAATATCCACAGTTGTGATATATTATCCCAATTAGCAGAGAAATCTTTGTATTAAGACGGTTGAGTAATTCGTAAGTTCCCCAAAGACTAAAGCTATACATCTAACTAATCAACTGTCTATCTACGGAGTACATCTACTCGAGTATAGGAAGTTGAATAGATATCTACCCACACTCATTCCTATATTGTGTTAAAGAAGAGATAATCGAGCGCTTCGATAAAGTATCTACCACTGTGACCATCTTTGATCCTCGTGATTCCGTCCTGCCAGCCTATTTAAGTATTAGTGGTTCGCTTACAACAACTGGAACGTGTTAGCTTCTTAGTCCAGTTTCCCATTTGGAATTTAATAGGGAAAAGTTTAATATCCAACAACAAGGCCTTTCAATTCTATTTACCCCCTTGTACCAATCTATTTTGCTTTCCTCAAATGTTAGCTCGCCAGCCAGTAGGGCTACTGCCGCTCCCTCTTTAAGCTTTGAGAGGGTGTCAAATTGAGCCTCTACTCAGCCTCAAGTGGAGGTGTCTAGAAAGACGTTGAATACCAGAAGAAGCTCGGATAAGGTAAAGAAGTCTATCCGAGTGCTTTTGATGACATCCATGACCTCTATCCTGTCATCGATATCTTCCTTTACTTAGCTCAAGTGGAAATTACAATAAAGGGTCTACATCTACCCACATATTTACCCATATATTCTTTATTCTTCGGCACTCTCTCCTTATTAGCTCGGCCCTTTCGCAACTTTTCGAATCAACCGACTCGAAAGGGGTCAACATCATTCTGACACAAGACTAAACCTAAGATTTTGAAAGATTCCTAGAGTTGATCTCCCGCTTTTGGAGCTTCCATTTGACATGGATTGTAGAACACCCAGACACCGTTCGTCTCCATTGATAATATATTCATGACGTATTTTGAGCAAAGTCAGCTGATTGGAACATAGGAACTGCGTGTGATGCATGCAAACGAATGAAGGTATACATGATTAACGTCGCCTTGTTTTCCACATTATACTGATGATCATCAGATCAGATGCGAATGGGATCAGGAAGGAAAATGCAATCGCTGCCATGGACGAGAGATGGAGTGCACTGTCACGACCAAGGAGCGGAAAAAGAGAGAGAGAAAGAAGTATGAGTTAATCTCAATCGTAATCAACACATCTAACTTGTTTATAGGGGTAATCATATCTCTATATTAGAGGATAGGCTGAAACGTATGGAGCATGCTATGAATACTTCAGGGCTCAGTATGGATGCCTCTGGCTTTGAAAGACAGACATCAGAGGAGATAACCGATCAAGCCGGGATGTTTGAAAAGTTCTCTGCACTCACTATAAGTAACACTGGAAGTGAGAATTTTAGGGGCAAGTCCAGATCATATTTCCCGATGAATGCTCTTATTAAACATTGTCAGGTGCTGCTTCTGGATTTTCCATGCTTTCACCAGAAGGCCTTCAACTCATCACCAGAATGATTGGGAACAGCGATTTTGCAAATTTCATGGCTTCTACAACAATGAACCAATACTCCGTATCCTCATCAATATGGCATACGATGCCTGATGATGAACACAAACTCCTTCCACCCAGAGAAGTTGCAGATAAAATTTTGGAATGTAAGTTTATTGCTCATTTCTTATCAACACAAAGTAACTCGTGTTCTCAGTTATTTTTGACAGAATGGTGGTCACATGGCCCCTATTTGAACGAAAGACTTTCATGGAAAGGTACTCACGCCAATATCCGGTCAAATGTTCAGATGACCCTGCTTGGTACGCATGCCTCAATATATGTTTTGCTCTTGCTGCGATCATGCGTAAAGAAGAATTACCTGGAATTTCACCTCAAACACCACAGAATTCAACGTCTCCTCGGCATGGAGAACTAGAAAACCTGACTTGATGGGGATGGCTTCGGAACGCAGCTAGTACTTTTGTTGATTTGCAATTTGGACCACCTTCTCTCACCGCTGTCCAGGCAATGACTGGACTGGTAATTCTCTCTCTATCAGCATACATTGTGAAATGTATTAACCTCATATTAGGCATTCATTCTAGACACACTGTCAGATCCATATCCATCTTCGGTTGTATCTGCAGCAGCGATTCGACTTGCACAAGCCATTGGCCTCCATCGTAACATGTCCAATTCCGGCCTTGATGAGGCTGGAATAGAGCAAAGACGCAACGTTTTCTGGATTGCTGTCATGATTGAACGTGGCATAGTCATTCGTCAAGGTCGCCCATCAGTGATTCATGATGAAGATATTGGGGTTGACTTACCACCTGCAAGTCAATATCCGAAGGACGCCGACGGAAGATTTGTTACATTTCGTCATAATGCTACTTTATCATTACTTCAGGGTCGAATCTACAATAGACTATACTCTGCAAAATCGTTTACGAAATCCAAAACGGAGAGATTGAAAATGGTTGGAATGCTGGATGATGAACTTCAGCAATGGTGTGAGACGATTCCAATTGAAGTTCGACCGGGTAACCCCATAAAATGCGGCCAACATCATGTGGTCTCAGTTGTTTGTATGCAATGGGGTTATTATCAGTGTCTTAGCACCATTCATAGAGCATCATTATATAGTGGCCCAGGCTCCTTGGATGATGATGGCGATAAATCCCAAAATGACTTCGATTCTAAATTGAATCCACGAGTATATGCCAGCGCTGCGATATGTGTCAATGCAGCAAGGAGAACGATTAACTTATTGGAGGATTGTACAAAACTATCAAATCTCATAGAAGGAAATGTTTTACGGTATGTGTAAAAATAAGGCTGGATTCTATCTCACACTAACATATAATTCCTAGCATGTCTATTTACAATGCACTTGCAGCATGTGTTACCCTTTTTGCCAATATTCTTCAACATCCTCTTGATCCACAAGTACAGTCTGACCTTCAATTAATGAATGATGTAGTGTCATTTCTATCCAGCTTTGAAGATCAAGGTGCAGCGGAGAGTCACCCATCAACACCGATTTTTCAAGAAATCAACCGTGTCGCTATGGAACATGTTAACAAGGCTCAAAGTAGAGCTCCGAAAAACACTAAGAGATCACGAGCTACATCCCGTAATACTGTGGAACCGATCACGGAAAGTGATGACTCGGATTATGAAGATTACAGGACAGAAGAGCTGGAAAGTCGCAAGACGGTCTCCGAGGTATGAATGGCGATCTGATTTTGAATTGATTCTGGAGCTAATATTGATTCTAGATGCATGATCCACGATCTTCATCATCGCCTGTAAATTCGGCAAATATTCAAGCTTCTCCTTTTTCTCCAGCACAACCACCACCGTCGAATATTCCAACGTGCATACAATCATTCGAATCCAACTCGACGAATTATATACCAGAGCGTATTCCTACATCTATACAACAAAACTACATTATACAGCAAGCGGCACAAATTCCTCAACAATCTCCTCCTTGTTATGAAACAAGTCCTCATGTACAACACATTACCAATCTTCCTGACCTCGACCAGCAACAACAACGTATCAATTCTTCAGATTACCATGGTTCACTTATAGATACTCGACTCCATTCCCAATCCCAATCCTACCCTTCACAAGCTTATACACATACATCCCATCCCGCCACCGGATACTACTTTTCATCTTCAGATCAACATCAGCATCAACATCAACAAAATATAAGTTCACACCACTCGGAAACATATACAAATACATTGAGCAATCCACATGCTAGTCCCCAAGATCTGGTAAGTCAAGACGAAGAATCTTTGCTTCCGCAAGATGGGAGTTGGTTTTTTCCAATGATTAGTCCGTGGTCTTATGGAGATGGATCGAATGTTAATTTGAATGGGGTTGGTGCGGTGATGGGGAACGTGGGTGAAAATGAAGGAGGGGTGTGGAGACATGGTGAGAATGGTGGGGAGGGAGGTGGATTGGGGGGTTGGAGTGGTCATGGGTGATGATGTGTGAAGTTGGGAGATGTATGATGGTATCGTAAAGTTTAAATGTTAGCCGAGGAGTTTGACCAAGTCGATAGATTGTATATAAAGTGTGAGGAGGAGTAGAGGGTGAAGGAGATGGAAGGAGGGGGATTGGGGTTGCATAGTTATCATACCATTTCACTACTGCTACTGCGAAGTCCGAATATCATTTTAATCACTCTTGAGCTTACCAAACGATGATTATATCGGGTGCAAGGAATTAATACTGAATGTCCAAGTTGAAGGAGGATGCAAAGAGAGAAATGGCCAATGAAAATAAGATTGATAAAATACATAGCAATGTATAATTGCAGCTGTTATCTATTCAATCTACCAGTACCTGATATTCCACACAAGCGAAAGCATATGAGATAATTCAGTAATAGAACAAATAGAAAAACACATAGCTATTGAATGTGCAACTTCATCTCCATCTAGAAAAATCCAATTGATTAATAAATACCTACTAGCACTATTTACCAAGTAGAGACGATCTAGCTAGCTAAGGACATTATATTCACGTAATCATGGTTAAAAAGGGACTATTCAGGGGGAATTTTTTTGGTGAAGGTTGAAGGAAATAAAAAATGATAGAAGAAATAACAGGTTTGTGCTGAGATGTTCGTGTGTAGTAATATGCAGATGTAATGTTATGTATAATTTGAAAACAGAGGTAGAGTATTAATTAACAATAATCCCTCGTGGCGCAATTGGCTAGCGCGTTCGACTGTTATTTCCTGTAGATCACGTGATCGAGAGGTTGGTGGTTCGAGCCCACCCGAGGGAGTTAAATCCGAACTCAGTTCATTTTGTTCGACACATTTTTATGATTTTTTAGGTTAGAGAGGGGGTTGTGTTGGTTTGGGTTTTGGTTTTGAGGTGTGTCGAAAGAAGGAGTTTTTAAATGTGGGGAACTTGATAGTCTTACAATTTCATTTATCTTGTGTGCAGGTGGATGAGTAGGCTTGAACGAAAGACCGACTTAATTAATAATGAATGCTTTGGAATTCGTTTTTAAGCTTTTCTTCTTTCTACCTATGCTTCTATGATATCCTGCTCTCTCCTTTCTTTTTCTGATTTTCACTTTAGTTGGGATGTTGGGTAGTAGAACTTTTTCTCTTGAAGAAAAGATCATTGTGTTGGCACGATACTACGGAGTCCCGAGGTCCACGGGTACCTACGCTGTGCAAATGTGGCTATGCTATGTGTGGCTTGAATTTGGAGGGGATGCCTATGTGGCTTGTATCGGCTCTCGCCACAAGGTTGACAGTGAATTGAAAGCATGTGATACGTTGATAGAGAAGTAGGTAATAATATCAAACCGCCGCTTGGGCGCGAAGCAAGGTTTCAAACATTGGATACCTCCAGCTATCCTGGTTGGATATGACGTGTGGCTGGGGCCGAATTTCTGGAGCTGGATTGAAGTTTGATATGGCGAGGCGCAAATGAAGATGAGTGAGTGGTGAATAAAGAAAACACATGTGTTGCACAAGGGAGGTATGACCTTGATTGTGACCATATTCTTGGGTTTATATTTGATATCTTTACTTTCTGTCTTTTTGTAAAGTTTTTCTTCACACATTCACACATTCATACATTCATACATTCATACATTCACATCTTTGCATTAAAGAAGTTAAAAAAAGACCAATACCTAATATATCGAGAAAACGAATCAAGAATAGTTGAATCGCAACCATGCTCGAATACTTCACCTACAAAAAAGTCAAGAAGCATAATGCCGAGAAGAAAGATCGAGTTTCCAATTCCAACACCCCTCTAGCATCACCAAATCCAGCTTCTCCAACAACTTCTTCAAAACCACGTCATTTAAATACAGTCAAAAGTTCATCTGCGGATTTGGAAAGAGGAGGCGCCAGTCCGATTCTTAATGATGAGGATGAATATTTCTTGCATAGGTTTATAAGTGCAGAGGGAACTCCACCTCCGCTTCCACAGAGGAAACCTACATTGCCGGCGAGACCTAGTGAAAGGGGAAATGAGGGAATAACAATGGGCGATGAGGCGGGAGAGTGGAGGAATAATGAGTTGCAGATGATTTTGAGGGAGGATGAGGACGAGGATGGAGAGGGGATTGAAAGAGAAAATGAAACTAAAGCGCAAGGAAAAGGAAAGGAAAAGATAGGTGAGGAAGGAGAGAAGATTGATGATACTACTGAAAAAGTGGCAAAGAAGTGGAAGAGATTAAGTTTCTTGCATAGAGGCAAAAAGGTATGGTACTTCAACGATCCAATGCTTCCTTACTCCATCAATCAACAACTAACCTCTTCTTTCCAGGAAAGGGACGCCAAAGCTACAGGTCTTCAACCAGATCCCAACATTTCCGACACCGAAGCTCAACGAGAACAAGACGATCTATCTCGAGTCCTCGACGACCTCTCTCTAACGGCCTCCAACAATCGCGCATTTTCCCTTTCCCCCGATTCCACAGTCCTGGTTCAAAAATTCACCTTCATCCTCAAAGATCTCATAAACGGTGTTCCAACCGCCTACGACGACCTAGTTCATCTCCTCGAAGATTCCCAAGGAACCCTCTCCAAATCCTACGATTCTCTCCCCTCCTTCCTCCAAAAACTCATCACTCAACTCCCGCAAAAAGTCACCACTACTCTCGCTCCCGAACTCCTCGCCGTCGCTACAGAAGCCCAAGCCCACAGCGTTGCGAATGCCGCGAGCGCGGCGCAAACAGGCGGGATGGGCGCCGCGGCGAAATCGTTACTAACGCCTTCTTCGCTCAAAGATCTGGTGACGAAACCGGGCGCGGTAGTGGGTATGTTAAAGGCGATTGTTAATGCGTTGAAATTGCGCTGGCCGGCTTTCATGGGGACAAATGTGCTGCTGAGTTTGGCGCTTTTTGTGCTGTTGTTTGTGTTTTGGTATTGTTATAAGAGGGGCAAGGAGGTTAGGTTGGCGAGGGATGGGAGGGTTCTTGTGGAGGGGGAGTGGCTTACGCCCGGTGAGGGGGGGAGGGGGGAGTTGAGTCGCGAGGGTAGTAGTGATGGGGATGGGTATAAAGCGAGGAGGGATGCCAGACAGAGGGAGAAGGAGATTAGGAAGGAAGAGGAGAGGAGCAGGAGTCGAAGGAGGAGTGAGAAGGAGGGGAAGTAATGGAGGTTGAAATTATGGGATGAGTGGAGGGATGAGGGATTGATGTTTATGATAATATGATATGGTGGATATGATGGATACCCTTAAGACGAGATATGAAGTCTGGCTTCTTTTTCATTTGGCTAGTAGTCTGATTTGAGAAACTGCAAGTTTCTTCAGCAAAGATATACATGAATGATAGTTAGTTAGTACAATGCAAATGAATTTATTCATCATGCAGTGTTTCCTTTACAGGCTTTGATGTTTAGATGGTAAGTTTATATTTATGGGGAATATAATTTCTATCCATAAGGTACTTAATCAATATCGGCGGTTCGTGTACCGGGAAATCAAGTATTTAAGTGATATATACCAATCAGAATTGATGTGAATGAGACTTCAAAATAGGAGAAAAGATATGTCACGGGTGTATAAGAAGTAACTTGTTAGTGTAGACTCGTAGAGGGATGAGCGTAGATTGGATGGACGGGATGGATATTGCGCATCTTATATTGGTCTAAGAGGAAGTTTGTAATTTTTTTGATTTCTTTTCGAAAAATTATTTGTATTCTCTGAAGAAATTCAAAGCTCTGAGAATTTTCTTTTCTTTTCTTTTGTTTTCTACTTGAGAGTTGAGAAGGTAGTGAGTGAATATTAGGATCCTCTAGGGCAGGGAGGGGAGATTCCTAACCGAGAAGGAAAAGGAAAAGGAAAAGGATAACCGATGGATTTATAATTACTGGGCTATGTGTGAATGGTGTTGATTTGATTATTCTAGAGATCGAAAACTAGTGTTATGTGAACTTAGCATTAATGATTTTATGTAGGTGCCTACCTACCTACCTTAAATCTAGATCTAATGATTGCAGTTGTAAGATTACATCTGGAGAAGAGAAAGATGATAAAAAACCCCATGATGATTTCACATAGCATATAGCATTGATTGACAAAAGAGACACAGTATAAAATGCTATGGAAAGACTAAAGACTTTATCCATTTCATTCTCTATAATGAAGATCAAGATTGCATTGCATACCCATAGTAAAATAATAAAATAATAGATACCTATAATTTTTCCCCTCCCCTCCTTCCCCATTCTCTTCAACTTCCCATGCCAACTCTTATTCTCACAATCATTCACCTCCTCACTCTCTGACATGAAAGAAAAGGAATCTTTAACCTAGATATTGGAATCGATATACGTGATGTGATGTAATTGGTATACATGTTGGGAATGATACAAGATGCCGAGTGCTTGGATATATATATATATATATATCGATTCTAGGCTGTTTTGTAAACACATATAGGACCTAAGTAGCTACACGAGCATGGTGTGTATATATATGTATCCAGAAGATGTGTTGGAGTGTAGAGTAGAGTACGAGATGTAAATATCTATGTAGATCTATAAGTACGAGTAGAGAAACAGTGCGAAAGTATCTATCTGTATTAGCCCACTTGCTTTCACATTTCTTAATAGTCTCAGTAAAGGATAGTCCACAGAAAAGAAAACGGAACCCAGATGGAGTAAATTCAAATAGTAACTAACAGCTACAACTATTTTACTCAACGACTAGCTAGGTATCTTCATAAGCAATCATAAACTGTACATACAATATATACTCTCTAATAGACGCATATATTCTGGTCAACGCCTACATTATCCATTTCTTTTGAATCTATCTTTTACCATACTACTAGCTCTGCCTGCCATTTATTACCATGAGCACTTCGTGTACAATTAAACTGCACGCAAATGACTCTTCTTCCTTTCTGTCTTTTGCAAACCCTTAGGTATCTATGTCGCCTGAGCTGCTTTCACATAGCTTCGATTGCTCTCAAAAGACAATCCAGACCTCTATCACTGATTCCACTTTCGCCATTTTCAGCCTCTGGGCCCTTCCCCTTCGCCCCGGCCTCCCTCAAACACCAAGCCACATCACTCAGAACACCCAATGGCAAATAAGTCCCCTTCTCCCCTCTCGCCCTCTCCAAACTCTCCCCAAGCCTGCTGGTGAATTCCCATTCTCTCGCTGCCACTTCTGCTCTATCGACCACTTTTCGCGGGATCCCACACATGCTCGCACAATGCATACCGAAACTACCTTCGGCAACACCATTTTCTAATTTATACAAAAACAGAACGCTTCTCGATTCATTATCGACTTCAATTGCCATACGCTTATTGATGACTTCAGGATGAGAATCAAATTCGAGGGCTAGAGAATGGTAATGTGTGGCGAAAAACCCGATACATCCGATATGAGATGCGACGTGGTGCAGAACTGCTTGGGCGACCGACACTCCGTCGTAGCTACTAGTGCCACGACCAAGTTCATCGAGAATGACAAGGGAACGGGGTGTAGCTTCAGAAAGGATTTTCTTGGTTTCTGAAAGTTCGACAAAGAAAGTGGACTGAGCAGCAAAGATGTTATCATTAGCGCCTAGACGTGACATGATGCGGTCGACGGGAGTAAGAATTGCGGATTTAGCAGGTACGTAACAACCTAGTTGGGCCATAATTACTGCGACGCATGTCTATAAGTGGATTGTTAGCACGATTATTTTATGCAAAGAAACAAGAGACGTACCATTCGAAGTATTGTGGATTTTCCAGCCGCATTAGCACCAGTGAGTAGATTGATATTAGGACATTTACCACCAAGCTGAACATCATTGGGAATGAAGTCCGTAACATTTGGTAGAACGCAAGGGTGTCGAAGTTCTTCGAACTCAACTACACTTCGTTCGGAATCGACAAATTTGGGCCTACAAGACGTAGTACCTAAAGCTGAAGATGCAGCAGCAAGACTGACAAGACAATCAAGTTGAGCCACAACTTTCACAGCTTGAAGCCACGTCTTATAATCTTCATCGAAACGTGCATAGAATCTGCTTGCCACTTCCTTGACAATTTGACCATGTGTTTCCTGAGTCTCTTGGAGGTCTCGAATTATATTAGTAAGCTCTGGGAAGTAGTAACGCTTGAAACCAGATGCAGCAGACGTCACCTTCCAATCTTTTGGTACCTTGATAGAAACTGGTACTTGTAATTGATGGATTTCTTTTCCAATGCTCCTCAACTCCACCTTCTTCGAATCAAACTTCTTTTGGTATTTCTTCAATAATGATGCCAACTCTTGATTGATTTCTTCAATACGATCTTGACTTGCATCAAAATCTTCTTCAACTCCTCTTTCTGGAACGAGAATTTTGTGCTCTTTTGCCTTTTTTCGGTCAAATGCATTCTTCCACCATTGCAGTGGCTCAGCAAGATCAGGTATTGATGCAACCAAACGATTAAAGATGCCATCGCCGCTGCTGTATTTGCCTAATATGTCCTTTTGAATATACTCTATTTGTTCGAAACCCTCTAATACTTTTACGAAATCCTCCGGTCTGCATGATCCAGCATGTATACGAGAAATCAAACGTTCTAGATCAGGCATCGAAGATGTTGAAGACTTGAATGAACGACTCAATTCATCATCTTTATTAAGCAAATCCACAGCATCAAGACGTTCGTTGATCCTCTTGATATCGGAAAGAGGGTGCGACACCCATTGTCGAAACAAACGCTTTCCAAACGGTGTAGTGCAACGATCGAGGAGGGTGTAGAGAGTACCATCAGAGTTCCCATCGAATGTGTTAGAGAAGATCTCGAGATTGATAAGGGTCTGACCATCAAGTACAAGAGTTGTACCCTTTTGAATAGGATTGTACCAGGCGAAGTTGCCTTGTGTAAGCAGAGGTTTCTCAAGCTGAAGGACTTTTAAGTACTGGAAAAGAGCTCCAAAGGAGGATATTAACAAATCCTTCTCTCTAGCCTTTTCAAGCTCCTCGGGCCAGGTTTCTTTCCCACCGTCCGCTGAAGTGAAGTAGCCACCATAATCTAGCTCTCGGCGGGATTTATCGGCGCTCAAAAATTCCTTGTCTGGTTTCAAGTAGTTCCAAATAGTTGTTGGGCCAGTATTGTTTTTCAATATACGGAGCACCTTGGTCGAAACACAAGACTTTTCCAGTAACAACTCCTGGGGCCGGGTTTGAGCGACAAAGGTCTCAAATTTGGTCAGATCCACATCATCAGTAAACTCAGTAAGGAAAAATTGGCCTGTCGATGTATCGACAAATGATATACCAAATGCTGGCAAGTCATCACTGGTGGTGGACTCTTTGATAGCCACACAATATGTTGCCGAATCATCTTGTAACATACTACCCTCAACCAAAGTACCAGCAGTAAGAATATAAGATAGCTCCCGATGAATGATCTTATCTGCTTTCTTGCCTTTGCTAGAGGGACCTGTACTATCTTCTCGTTCGCGCATCTCTTTTGCCAAAGCCGACTCCTTCTGATCACCAACAGCGACTTTGTAGCCTTTGGCAAGAAATTGGTTTGCCCAATGCTGTAACGACATTTCCGGTACACCGACCATTGACATATTGACACGGTCTGTGAGTTTCAAGTCGAATATTTGATGTCCGATAGTAGCATCTCTCTCGTATAATTCGTAGAACTTACCCTTCTTGAAGAAAAGGATGGTGTCCCAGCACTTCTGCTTTACTTTCCAATATTGCGCCTCGAAGGGTGTGAAGTTGTTGAACGCCATCGGCGGAATAAATAGCGTACGAGGATCATAATCAGGATGACCAGGAGGATTGCGATCAATATCCCTTTCATTCGCTAGCCATTCATATCGTTGATTTGGGTCGGTTTTGGATGCCTTCTCTTTGAATTTCTTTCCGCTGGAATTGGGGGTTCTCGAAACACTCGACGACTTGGCCTGTCGGGGTTGAATGTTATCTGGATCATACTTCCATTGTTGAGCTGTTGAAATTTCTGGTATTTGCATATCCTCATCTTCATCGACAGAAGAATGGGGCGGCAAGTTGTTGGACCGCTTTCGAGATGATGCCGTGGATGATGGACGCTTTCTCTTTTTGGAAGATTTGCTAGGACCATCAGAATCGTCGTCGACAACGAAATCATCCATTTCATCTATTACTCGTAAGTTACTGCTGACAAGACCCAAATATGACAGACTGACCATCATCTTCATTAGCGCCATCTAAGTCACCAACAAACGTATCCTCATCATCATCATCGCTTTCAATCATTGGCTTCTTTCCCTTTCTTCGTTGTGTAGTTCTCGGAGTTACATCTTCATCGTCGTCGTCTGATTCGGCATAGCTGACTACCTTCCTAGCAGCCTAGTAAAAAAGGATATTAGCTTGAGAGAACTTGCGTCTGCAAAAAGGAAGCGCATGCCTTTCTTGAAGGACTGCTTGTTAAAGCTAAACCATTGATATCCACAATCTGCTCCGCAACACTTTTAGCAGCCGCCGAGGGCAACGATGAGCAGCCGTCTAACTCCGTTGGAATACCGCCGTTTTCATTCTCCTGTGAGCTATCTGGCTCAATGTTGTCACTACTTGGAACTGGAGTTATGCTCTTCTGGACGGGTTTCTTAAACTGGGGTCTCTTCACGGTGCTGCTGGGTTTCGGTGTAGACTTTGCGCTATTGGCAGAGCCATTGGGTTGTAAAATACCGCTGGGTGAGGCTGTGGAAGTTTTCGGGGTAGGAGTAGTGGCAGGTTTTTTCGAAAAGAATCCTAAGATTGATGCTTGGTTCTTGTTTGATCCTATACTTGAGTTTTGTTTCTTCAAGGTCGGAGGGCGAGCCGGGGTTGTCTCATTGTCTGTGTTCTTCACCATATTGGATAAAATGCGCCAGACTAATATGTATGAAAAAGCTCAACCAAAGAGAATATGAGTTGAGAAGGATTCGGTGGGTTGAATTATGTATTGCGAAAAGTAACTTTTGGGCTGCTCAGTGTGAAAGTGATAGGTAGAAGACGCGCAACGCGAGTTAGCGCGACAAACCGCGAAATTAAGCACGTACCAACTCTTAATTAATTTGACTGCCCTGAGCTGTTGACCATCACTCTAGACATTAAGAATTCATTTACTTGACAATGCCGATAAAATTCTTACTTCTTGGATGATTCTGCAAAGTAATACCTAGTAATACCTAGAAAGTAATATCGGCTACAATGGCCACTATGGTAGTCCATTTCTGTCCTGTCAACCCTTTGTCTAATATTGGCATCTTTTCTCTTGGCATTTCCTAGTGGATATCTTTGAATCCTATGTGTAAAGCGTCAGAATGAGGATCCATACTGTCTCACAATTAGTGTGCGGTAGGTAATCTGATAAGAAACGCAAAGTTCAGGGTTTTAACCTTGGTCTTACATGGGATGGACTACTCTTTAATATGAAGTCTTTCTCATGGCACTGTTATACGGAGTCTAATGGCATCCAAAGAAAATATGCACTGAATATATCCCCGCATTGCCAGAATAGCTGAAAACATGACTGCAGCTGGTCAAGAGGACATGATATGTACTACAGGCGAAGCAAAATCCATGAATGGATATATACTTAGGTGAACATAGATATTTCAAGTGGGTCTCTAAGTCACCATCTTCCGACTTCCATCTATCTGATCTTCTTCTCTCTAACCGCCAAACTTAACAAAAACGCCAAACCTGATAGTCCCACACTCACTGCGTGACTCGCTCCCAAACTTTTCACATAGGCATCTATTACCTGGATCTTGATATCTCCCGGCAGGTCTTTCACGCTTCCTACATCTTCCATCACTTGTCTCACTATATTCCCATCTAGTTCTAACCCTGCGAGCGCTTCTCCCAAAGCACTGTTTTGAACTCCAGCACACAAGGCTACTCCAACAACCATACCGATGCTAGATATCAAATACATACCGGCAGTTGCTGTACCCATCTCTTTCTTTTGAACAGAAACGGTGAGGGCAATAAATGCGCAAGCAGCTGTTATTCCGAGACCAAAACCACCTGGAAATATAGAGAGAGATGACGCGAGAGAAAGGTGATGGCTATGCCATGTTGTAAGAAGCATAGTGTAGGAGAAAATGGACGAGAGAGTAGAGAAGACCAAGAGATATTTGTAATGACCAGTGCTGATGATTGTTAGTGTTCTAATTATATGAAATGGTAAGAGTGGTTGAATGAGCAAAGAACGAACCGAGTAATTAGCCAGCCTGCGAGGAGACCTCCCGTCGTATTACCAAATATAGCCGGGAAGAGATGAAGCCCAGCAGTGGTGTTAGAGCTGCCTTGTGTAACACGAAAATACAGGGGAACGGAATACATCATCTATGCGAGGTTGGTGATTAGTACATCGCAAATAGAAGGCACAGGATGACTTACGCCAACTTGTGCACCGAGCTGCAACGCATTGATAGCATAAGATGATGCTACATCACGTTCGACAGCAAGTGCGGGCGGAAATATGGGCTCCGCAGCGAATTTGACCTCATACGTCACAAATATAGTGCCAAGTACAACAGATCCCAGCAACAACCCAAGAACTGTAAGATGCGACCAAGGTAGTGCTTGTCCTCCAAGACTGAGAGAGCCGAGAAAGGCGGCGATAGTCCCAGTTAACAAGAATGCTCCAATAAAATCAATTCGTCGAAGTTTTGAAGGCCCATCTTTGGCTTGGATGGGCTCGTCGGATGATGATCGTGCTGGAAGTTTATATGCTACCAAAGCAATAGCGAAGAGCATAAGAGGTCCTTGTCCGATGAACGACCTGCAATGGCTTATTAGGAAATGGATACGTTTAGGCTGTTAAACTGGAATAGAGAATTTACCAACGCCATCCTATCGTGTCTGCTAGCAGTCCGCCTAGGGGTCCACCGATACTTCTTCCAATCGTCCCAACGACATTGACATAACTTCTCCACGCGGCAACATGAATGAGAGGCACAAGATCTGAGCGCGTTAGAACGGTATGGGAAGGCTCAAATCTGACTCTCATCACTCACCAACGATCAGAACGGAGACCATAACACTCATACCCGCACCTCCAATACCAGCTACTACTCTACCCATCACAGTCTGCCACATTGTTTGTGAAAGCCCCCTCTCAAGACATCAGTACAACATCTTCAAACTCTGGAACTCACTTACGTCAAAACACATCCAATCACGAAGAACCCATACGATATCAAGAGAACTGGTTTTCTTCCATATATATCACTAATCTTGCCGGTAAGGGGTTGGACAGCGCACATCGCTAAAGAATAGCTAGTAGTTAACCAACTGGCATCACCCAGTGCCCGAAATTCGGAAGCAATGGTGCCATAGGTTGCGAGAACAAGCGTGCCATCTGCATATGATACAAAAATACCTGGAAAAATAAGCTCAAAGAAAGTCAATGAAGGAGTTGTGGATATTTACCAATCAGTAGAAGACTGATTATGATAGCAGCGCTCTTCATGACTTTTCCTGTGGTTTTGTCTTGTACTTGGTCATTTTGTGCAGATTCTACGTCCGGAAAAGTTGCGGCTGACTTGTAATTTGGAGTAGAAGCAGCAGTTACTGGTGAGAGTAATGAATCTGTTTCCGAGTACAATTTTATCAAATCCGCATCTTTGGATGAAGCTTGACTTGAATCATCTCTAGGAATAGTATCTCTCTCATGCAATGCCATATTTCAGTATCCGATACTATCACCAACAGCAATTTTTTCCTATGATTCAAGCTTTGGCGGGCATCAAAAGTTTAAGAATTGATTCTTCAAACTGCCCAGACCGTCCAATGTTTCGTTTCTAGGGTATTGACTCATTCGCTGTCAGCGCAAGCCAAGACACTGCGCCGTCAACAACAGGGCCAGTATCTCGGTCCCGATTGGAATAGAAATTTGAAAGCTCATCATTTTGTCTAAAATGCCATCTTATCAAATGTCCGAAATTTCATCTCACATATGGCTGCGGGAATCAATTGAAAAAGCCAAACTTCTAATGAGAGACGTACGAAGCAAATGTAGATGAAGTCTTTATCACACAATAGGCCTGATAGGGCGAAAATCCCCTGCTAAATGAAGCCTGAAGCCCCGCAATTTGATGATGAAAATAGGCACGGATCTCACGCCATACATTAGAGTTGAGGCTGCTTTAGCAATTACACAACGTCATATCTCAAATTTGCAAAGCTTTTTCCTATTTATATGGCAAAAATGATTTTGGAGCTTTAATATAGCGGGGTATCCTCTCTATTTCACAATCATATCGCTAGGAAATCACCAACCCAGAAGCATTATGCCAGTTACCCGTTGTTGCGGACTCTTGGACCTGGTGGACGGCATGAGACTTGAGTTCCACTTCCGATGTCAAGAGTACTATCTACTCCACAGCAAAATGTGGAATGTGGGTGGGTCAATGATAGCTTCGACCGCATCTGATCATAGCTGACTTCATCTCCAAACCTTCAATTGGAGTTGTATCGATTCTTCTCACTTAAATAACGAGAAGGGATCATAAAGACAGTACTTGGAACAGAACAAATTCAGCATGAAAGCCTCACCACTGTTTGTCCTAGGGCTTGCTACAGTTCCTGCTGCCTCGCAAGCTCCAATTGGACAAAAGAACGATAGAAGGCCGAACATAGTGCTCGTTTTGACAGATGATCAGGATCTACATATGCAGTCAATTGATTATATGCCCTTATTAAAGAAGCATATAATTGATCAAGGAACCTTTTTCAAGCGTCATTACTGTACTACTGCAATATGTTGTCCTTCAAGAGTCACATTATGGACGGGAAAAAATGCTCATAACACAAATGTGACGGATGTAGCACCCCCTTATGGTCAGTGTTCGTCTCGGTCTTTTAGATAGCCCGGTAGCTGATGTATCAGATTAGGTGGATATCAAAAATTCGTTGAGCAGGGCTTCAACGACACATATCTCCCAGTATGGCTTCAAGATGCTGGATACAGCACTTTCTACACTGGGAAACTTTTTAATCATCACACTGTGAGCAATTGGAATAAACCCCATCCAGCTGGATGGACTTCTTCCGATTTTCTTTTGGATCCGTTTACATATCAATATTACAACTCCACATTTCAAAGAAATGAACATCCGCCTGTAAGTCACGAGGGCGAATACTCAACAGATGTCCTTGCTCAGAAGGCATACGGATTACTTGATGAAGGAGTACAATCCGGAAAGCCATTCTTTTTGGTCGCAGCGCCAATCGCCCCTCACGCGAATGTTGACCCGGGTGCGTTTAAGCCTGGAGAGGGAATCCTGATGGCAGTTCCTATTCCTGCCGAGAGACACAAGCATTTGTTTCCTGGTGCAAAAGTTCCAAGAAATGCCAATTTCAACCCAGATAAGGTAATTTATGTGTCTTAACTGAAGAAGCTCAAGTTAACCCTTTCATATAGCCTAGCGGAGCCTCATGGGTAAAACATCTGGATCAACTTACTGATGAGGTTATCGCTTACAACGATGAATTTTACCGAGCTCGTCTCCAAACCCTCCAAGCGGTAGATGAACTTATTGAAGGTCTTGTTGATCGACTGACTGATTATGATATTCTTGACAATACCTATTTTATCTTCTCAACCGACAATGGCTACCATATCTCTCAACATCGTCTAGCTCCAGGAAAGGAATGTGGGTTTGAGGAAGACATCAACATTCCTCTCGTCATCCGTGGCCCTAGAGTTCCACAAGGAGAGCAAACAAGTGTTGTGACTGCGCACACAGATCTTGCTCCCACGATCCTCAAGATTGCAAATGGCGATTGGAAAAGACAAGATTTAGACGGGAGCGTAATTCCTCTCGATCCACAAGGACTCAAAGATGCCGAGAATACCAGACAGGAACACGTGAATGTCGAATTCTGGGGAAAAGCACTTCCTGAAGGCATTCATCGATTTTCTCTCGATGATGGGAAGGTTGTCTACTATGGTCTCAACAACACCTACAAAGCTCTGCGTATAATTAGCGATAGCCATAATCTCTACTACTCTGTTTGGTGTACCAACGAACATGAGCTCTACGATTTAAGCACCGATCCTCATCAAACAAACAACATCTATCCTTCCTCGTCTATTGCAAGCGCTTCCACGCGTGGCAATCTCAATCTTCCCAAGCTCATTCCCCGTCTCGATGCTCTTCTCATGGTAACAAAATCTTGCAAAGGTAAAACGTGTGTACAACCTTGGTCGGTATTACATCCAGCCGGAAATGTAAGAACACTTGACGACGCTCTATCTCCTCGCTTTGATACATTCTATGCAGAAGATATGGCAGAAATAGTAGTTAGGTATGATAAATGCGAATTGGGATATATTGTAGATAGTGAAGGACCTCAGGAGGTATTTGCTTTCCAAGAGGATGGAGATAAGTGGGAATTGTAAGTTTATGCTGCAAGCATATTTCTATTAGTCTGTGTACATATCATATTATACGTCACTTCGAGACACGAAGGCGTTGGAGCGAGAAAATAAAATAAAATTAAATTAAATTCGAAATTCCATATATCTCCCTCTTCTCCTCTCCCACGTTCAAGATAAAAATTACCTAGTCAATACGTGTCAATACGGAAGTGCATATTGATCGATTTGATCATGATTGATTTTTTTGCCTTCTCCATTAGTTCATGGTAGAGAAGGGGCATAAATAAGATTACTTTGACAGAACTATCAAGTATGATATATTCTATTTATTCAATTACATGGAAGTCTCAACTTCTAAGTTATAAAAAAGGTGATTCGATTCGTAGTAGTAGTTAACTTGTCAGTGGGTGTGGCTTTACCAAGTAGTTATACGATTTTCATATCTTTTTCCCCCATAATAACCTTTAATCATGCAATCATCTGATAATTCCGGATCAAAGATTAAGAAAATATAGAAAGGATAACTCATTGCGGGGTTAACAGAGGACATAAAGCGTAGAAAGCATTGAAAGGTTTCCTATGATATAAAACTGGCTGTCATGCAATTCGCCCCCTCCCTCTTTCCTCATTCACCCGAAAAAAGAAAAACATCATTTCTATTCGACATTATAGATAAGGCAGATCCTGAATAGTAATTTCGCCAAGAAATTCCTCTTAAGCCTTTTTGAATCGTTTGTACAAAACAAACATAATCCCGAAGAGTACCACCGGCCGCCAAAGTATCTCGACAAAAAATATAAAAATCGCAACTACCAACCCTCCTATAGCCTGACGTACATTAAATGCTTCTGGTTCACGACGAATATCGAATTTGGTAATCATCGTATATCTCGGTATCAGGTCCCCTCTCTCGTCCGTAGCCCACCACGTATACGGCCACACAAACGCAAAGTACCACGTGAAGACCCCCCAAAAGAATGTCATCAAGCAGAGCCCGGCAAACCATTGCCGCCACAGGAAACAATTGGGACACACGTAGTTTTCGGGGGAGACAATGTTCTTGATTCCTTCGTTGCGAGCCGCAGCTCGTAGAATCTCGGTTCTGAAGGAGGGCAGTGGACAAATGTGCGTGTGTCCGGTTGTGCTCGCGGCTCGCGGATACGTGGGTGTGTTGGGGGTGAAGGGGGAGGAGGGCGAGAAGAGAAATGAAGGTGAGGAGGCGGTCCAGTCAGGACCGGATATCACGCGCGTGGGAAAGCGATGTCCACAACTATACACAAGGAAGATTTTCAGCTCCGGATCGTCTTTCTCGGGGAAATAGGATGGGTAGATGGGAATCCAGGATATGGGCTTTGGTCCTTGCCAGGTCCACTTCCAGAATAGCCAGGAGGGGGGAGGACGCTTCTTGTGCACATAGTAGTAGCCTTCTCCGGCTGTACTTTCTGTTTCGTCTGCGGATTTTGCGCGGCGAAAGCGCCACGTCCAGGGCTTGGTGTAGATTACTTTGTGCGGTGCTTTGTAGACGTAGAATTTGTTCTCGCCTGTTCCTGTCTGTGTTCTAGACGTCGGTGTGGGATCGGAGATACCAGCGGTGCTAGTTGGTGCATTGGGATCTCTCTCGCCTTGACGAGATTTCTGCGCAGCAACTTGGCTAAGGTTCTCTTCTATTTCCTGCTTATTCTTTTCGTCTGTAAATGCATGCACAGATTGACCCCCCCTGGCTTTGCTTTTTGGAACGGCAAATTCCCCTTCAGTCTCCAATTTATAAATGATGCTATTCCCCCTCTTTCTTCTCTCTCCTCCTCCTCCTCTTCTCTCCCCTCACTTTCTCTGTCATTTCCTCTTAATTCTCGGCCAACGTTCTTTATTACGCGCGTAGCTCTTTCATCTTCAAATTCAGATTCACTCCAAGACTCGGAAGATTCAACGGCTTCCGTAAGGGGATCGGGATTTTCGGCGGGCGAGTCAGCGGTGGGGAGCTCCTCAAGCGCAGGCAGAATTTGACTTTTCCCCAGCTCTTCTTTTTCTTCCTTCCTTTTTCCTGAAGTCGCATCTTCATATACATCTTCTCCTGCCATTTCTCCCCACGAACCCCGCTCGCGAAGATGTTCTTGCCATGGTTCTTGCATTTCTCCAATACTGTGTCCTGAAGTGTAGGCAGCCATGGATCCTTCTCCACTTTGTGGTCGTCTCCCTAGGGTACTCATGATGACTTTTTGAAAATTTATGTGTATTTCTGATATGATGATTCCCTAGTCCTTACGATTACTTAAAGCGAAGTAAAAGTAGTTAAGATTTGAGGTCTCAAAGAGAAGCAAGCTATAGCTATTGAAACCTCCACCGGAAGAAGATGTTCTTTGTACTGCCAATCGCGTCTTTGGAAGCGAAAAGGAATTCGGCTATTAGACGTTTGCGTTGATGAGTTCTTTGTTGAAATAATGCTACATAAGTACTAGCCACATTCTCAAACAAAGTAATTGTTCACTCAACTTTACATTTGCGAGGAGCAGTAAGTCAGTCTATCATCGAGGAAAAAGTAAAAAGTCACAAGTCACTATATACAAATTGATCAATTGATACTCTACTCTACACTCTGAGCAAACGAGAACAGCAGAATGAAATATCGCGGTAATTTATTCCGAAGCCCTGAAACCAACTCTAGACTACATTAGCGAGAATTTATAAGGCATGATGTTAATATGTGGTTTTTGTGATGCTAGAGTTACTGATGGAGCAGGAGAGCTAGCCCCAATTATTATTGTCCTCGTAGCTAGTTAGTACACTTCATCCAATCAATCTGTGAATACCCTCATATTCTAGCCCATGCTTCCCGCTACACTCTGTAGAGAGTCGCATCCGAAACACAAAAGAGTAAAATGTAGAACTTTCTAGAACATAAGAGCAACTCACCACAATCCACAACAAAGTTAACAAAGCGAGCAAAAAAAGAAGCAGAAAAAACAAGACCAAAAAATACATAAAACTATTTAGAGTATCGAAGTTTAATTTCAATTACCTACTCATACTATCACAATAAAGAATATACATATCAAACACTCGAATAAAACATTTCAATTCAAAATCTACATCAAATCCTCGTACCAAGTTTTCAGCAAAAGGGTTTATATACCCACTTACTGTAATTAATTATCTATATCATACTAGTAGTATAGGTCATAATATACAATAAAGCTATCGTATAATTATATAATCTCCAAATTTGATCGTATCAATATTACATAAACACTTCTTTTAAAACTCGTGAATAGGTAGGTCTGTGGTAGGAAAAGCACCACTTTCAGTCTCTCCCTTTTTAGGAATCAGAAGAAGTTGCAGCTGATGAATATTGAAAGAGGGGCGGGATCATCCTCGCAAGAGCAGAATAGTGATGAGCTTCCACCAAGAGCCACGGAGCCCAATATCAGAAGTACAAATCGACCGAGGGGAATAAGCATTGTGAGGATTGAAACTCCAGAGAACTTGGTTGAGAATCTTGATAGGAATCATTGATGTTTTGTCTACACAACCAGCACCACTGTATTCCGCTTTTGGGGCAAACTGGGGTACATTTAATCAGAGCAAGATCTCGTCGACGTAATCATCATCAGCGAATGAAAGCGTTCAGGATCTTCGAGACAAGCAGGATATCACCCTCACCTTCTACATCCATCAAGCATGATACGTCATGCAATGTATTTTCATCCGTGGGACAACAATCGAGGTAATCCCCCAAAACAATTGGTACGAGGAGAACCAAACAAACCTCACTCCTCAACCATCCCAGCCACGCATAAATCGCTCTCACAATCCACCAAATCTTCTCCGCATTCCAAATGTGTCAACTTCACACATGCATGCATGCCAAGCACCATTCTCCCATCGAAACCCCTCAAAATAGACCCTCACCAACATCTCCTGCAGAAGTCGGCCAAGTTCACAGCATGTGATTTATCAGGGTAAACCCACCAAGCAGACAACCCAACCCTATAGGAGGGAGTCCCTCGTGACCAAAAGGATATGCTTCACTCCCCTCCTCTCTCAATTACTCCGCACCTCTTTCAAACATAGTACAATCAAACTCTGATGAAATCCAATCCATCCACAGCATGCGAAAGAATATCCATTGAAAGCACTTGAACTCTGCGCTGTGCACGACATAGGATATCTATTTCCATTTCGATATCGATATCAGATTCAACGGCGAGCGAATAGATGATAAAACTTGAGAGCCCCGAGAATATCTCCAGGGAACCAACCATCTAGTCCGACGATATGCTTTCGATATGCTTTCTACCTGCTGGTACTACAGGGTAATTGCTTTGTAGAAGACAACCATATTCCATGCCTATTACCAGGTACATTCGTTACACTAGTAACGTTCATTATACATTCACAATCTATACATCATAGCATCGTGATACCTCTCCATCTCATACTCACATTCAAATAAACAAGAAACATCACGCTGAGCACTCATACCACACAATCAAAAACATGAATTATAGTCATCATATTATTCTCAAAAAGTAAAAGTAATTACAATAGAAAAGAAAGGGTTCCCCAACCAATCCATCCACCTCAACCTCAAGTATATATATCTTTACTCTGCCTCGACCTCATTATCATTAAACATAAAAAAATATTCCCGTTTCCATTCCTGGAAACCAAAATTTCTCTCCAGTGAGAGACTCACGACTTATATTATCAACCTTTTTGATTCGGTGAGAACATCTGCCATGATATCGGATAGGTGTTTGTCCAAGCAATCATAAGCTCGCTCTTTAAACAACCGAAGAATTACCCGTAACATTCCCCGTATTATTAAACGCGGGATCATTAACCGCATGGTTCGAGTTAATGGCTGTAGCAGCCGGAGTATTCTGTCCTTCGCGATAACCAGCATTATTCGTAACCGGAACATGTGCACCATCATGATGGGCACCATTATGATGACCACCATCCTTATCATGGAATGTAGTTGGCTGCTCATCGTAATCTCTGATATGTAGACCTAGATGCGCAGGATCGATATTGCGATGACCAAACAACAAGAGAGCACCAAAGCCAATCTTGGCAAGAACATCGAGAACACCGTAGAAGACTGCTTCCGAATCGGGGGCAATGACGTTTCCACCCTCGGAAAGACCCCAGGCGATAGGGTAGAGGAACCAGAGGAACATGGTGATGCCTCCACAAGTCCAGTATACTTTGTTGACTTCGCTGCCTAGAGCTTTGGCATGTTGAGCTCCGACGAAGAGAATGTTCCACGCAATACCAAAGAGAGCGGCCATGGCGAAGACGAAATATCCCCATTTATAAGAAGATGCAACGAGAGCACCAACGAGGCCGGTGATAATCATAATTTCGTCCAAGAAGATTGTAAACAATATCGTTGGCCATGGAAGGCCTGCAGTCAAAAGAATATCCAAAAGCAAAAGCTAAAAGCAGTATTATTAGCACTTGTCCAGACAAGAAGATAACAGCAGACAGTCTTACAGGAGTTGTGATGACCCAATCAATATATCTCACGTAGAAGATTTCCCGATATACACCACTGACTTTAGGATCGCTACGTTGGAATTCCTGAATGATGGAAGCGTAGCCCAAATTTGATGCCATGGTAAAGTACGCAATCGAGGCCGTCATGGTAATGGCGGCAGTAATATAATGGAAAACACGCTTGCTTCGTGGAACTCGGAAGCTCAAAGCCATGAAAATTATAGTTGCAAAGGCCATTGCAGCGGTGATAGCCCAGTACACATCACTTCCACGGGTTGTGATGTTGATATCGGTACTTGTTGGGTAGTGAAAAACATCTGGATTCGCGTGCAATGCATCATTGGCTCGTTTTTCAATCATGTTGATCGAAAGTATGGATATCAATAAAGGATTATTTCAACAAAAAAAAACAGTATGAGGGTGGTATATGTGAGAGTTGGACACAAGACTCCGTTTGGTTTTAAGATAGGACAACATATATAGCATACACATGAGCTGGATAAAGCGGCTCATAAAGAACTTCAAGACTCAGCTAACTGTCAAATCTTCGATCATACTATGATCAGCGACATCGACATCATCAAACTGCCGGTACTGCCATCGACACTGGATCGGGACTTCAAAATCTAGATGACAAGACGCGAGCAAAAAAACAAGAATCGGCACATAAAAGCTTGATTTGAAGGCAAGAGAGTTTTTGGATATACCTAGGTAGATCTACCTACTTGGTACCTCCCACACGAAAACGAGGGGAGACGGAGAATTTGTCGTCAACAATGCATATTCAATTGTACCTATTCTGGCTAGAGAATATATTATAGTGGCCATCATTACAGCTTTTTGTGGAAATGATAGCAGCGAATATGTCATCAATTGAGAATTGATTCGACGACTCGAACATGTAAAAACAATGACAAGATGAGGAAATTTCCCAGGGGTCCGAGAACCATTCAAACGCCCACCTACGAAGTAGTACCTACTAGGTAGACAGCGAATAATGGAGATTCTCGGTTGAGAATCGGGATTGGAGTAAGATAGAGATGTCATAGACTTTGACGTACAGTAACAAGTTAATTACCACTCTCAACTCCGTACAAGCAAGCGCACAGACTTCGATAACTGCATCCCATGGTGGAAAAACCAAAAACCAAAAACCAAAAACCGCAAATCTCAATGAACTAACTAATTACTCTGTACGGTACCATGATCCATGATCCATCATCCATCCATCCCACAAAAAAACAGACCCACCAAACAAAAGCTTGTTTTTGATCCGTGACGGAAACGTTCTAGACCTATCAAAGCATCAAAGAGCATGCATATATCTTTCTACAAATCGTTCCATCTCCTCACCATCGTACTCTATAGTGCGAGGCCCAGAGTTCAAAAGTAAATAATAATAAAAGTCATCTCAACAAATAGAAGTCGCTCCCGTGCCTTCCGAGGCTCCGAATATTAAAAGTCATTACACCACATGAACAATCAAATCCTTTTCAAAGGGTACCTACCACCCGATGTGACCCCCAATTACTCAATCGATGTCTTCTTGACATGAACCTGGAAAAAGGGCAGTCGAGGGCTATTTGGCAACTGAGGGGTTGAACACCTGATTAAAAAGAACTTGGACGTTAAACTCTCAAATAAGCACAGCTATGATACGTTAATCCGGATGGCAGTTGCTTGAGTGGGCTGACTCGCATGTGAACTGGTGACGAGATGACTTGATGACATACCTACTGTAATGACCTAATCTAGGCAAAAGTAAACCATTGTAGGTCTGGAAGAGGTCCGCTAGATGCCGACACTAGTCTTTGCGGGCCTCTAAAATCTACTCAGTAATAACTTTATTTTGACCTAACATATTACTATGTAATTGATATTGATCATCTTGAAAATGGATAGGACGACAAAAAGATGGATATCGGATAGTTATTGTAGTGGCACTGTGGCAATTATAACGCTGTCTCGGTTCCGCATGTCCTCTTCGTCTCTCCATCTCACGAAACTCTCATATTACCATTAATGTACCCCGTCGTAAATATCAACGCTATCAATGCCAATATGAAGATTCCAAAATTACTCGACATCATTCCTTGCCTAACAATTCTATCCAGGTTTCTCGTCCCTTTCCCTTGTATGACCCCCTCATCGGAAACCACGTTGCTTTTTTCTTTCCATGGACACTGCATCCTCAAGTCGTCCAAGATTTGTGTACTTGTAATCTTTGCTCCTCCCAGAACAATAGGTACGCCGGTTCCTGGATGCGTCGATGCACCTACGAAATATACACCCTTAACCTCGGGATGTTTAGTTTTGGGGCGAAATGCGAGGACATTAAAGAAAGAATGAGAAAGTCCGAGAATGGATCCTTTGTCTAAATTAAATCGCGATTCCCATGATGTAGGCGTATTCAGTTCCTCATGAACAATCAATGGCTCGATCGGCTCACATTTCGTTCGTGATTCTATCGTTTGCAGTATCCTTCGCCGAGTAGACTGTACGATAGACTCCCAATCTTGTTCTTTTGGAATGCCAGTACCAGATGTGGCAGAGCCGTCGCCTTGAGGATGATTGGGCGTAGCCGAATTCAGAAGATGGCCAACGGGAACGAGAACTACAATGGAATCTTTACCTGTCGGGGCGGCAGTTGGATCAATTCTCGAGGGTACGTTCACGTAGAATGAAGGCTCGTCAGGAATAGACTGCCTATCAAAGATAGAGTCGAATGAATCGCGATATTCATCTGCGAGAAATATATTGTGGGTATTTAGTTGTGGAATTTTCTTAGAGAGAGCCCAGTAGAAAGAAATGGAACTACAAGAGCCCGTTCGTTTTTGTAAAGATTTGGCGTAGGAATTGGATTTGGAGGTCGGGAATAGATTATTGTAGGCATAGACGAGGTCGGCATTAATAACGACGAGATCTGCATTGAGCTTTTTGCCGGAAGATAAAAGAACTCCTGTTGTAGTTTTGCCATCGTCAGACGTTAATACCGAATCCACTGCTGAATTGAGTTGTATATCGACTCCTAATCTCTCGCATATGCAGACGAGAGCCTCAACGACAGCATGAAACCCACCCACCGGGTACCAAATACCTTCAGCGAGCTCCGTATATTGAAGAAGGGAATATGTGCCAGGAGCATCGAATGGAGACATCCCCATATACATACTCCCGAAGGTAAAAACCCGTCTTAATCTCTCCGTCCAAAAGTACTTTGAAGCTCGAGAGTATATACTTTCGAAAGGATGAAGAGCAAAGACGTTGAAAAGAAAGCTAGGTCGTAGCATGTTGAATATCGATGTGAAGTTCTTGTGCAAAACTTCCCGCACACTCAATTCATAATGCCGATGAGCTTCTCCAAGCCATTGCAAATATCTTTCAAACCCATCCTTTCCTTCCCATTTCTCAATCTCTCGCTTCATTACACTCGCATCCGTACTGAGTTCGAACTTCTCTCCATCTCCGAACCACAAATTGTAATTAGGCTCGCATTTTAGTAGCTCTACCCCTTCGTCTTCGAGTGAAGTGTCGAGATCGTGGAATGTTTCTTTAAACATCTTTGGTAAAAGTAAAAGGGAAGGCCCTTGATCGAATCGATATCCCTCATGATGAATTAAGCTGCATCGACCGCCCGTAAAGTTGTTCTTTTCAAGTACTGTGACAGACAAGCCGGCTTTCGCCAATCGTGCTGCCGTTGCAATGCCACCGACTCCGGCACCTATTGTCCAAAAGCATTATTAGTCCACGAACTACCAACCTATGGTTGAGATAACGTGCATGGGAAGAGGGGAGAGGGGTAAAACAGGGGTAAATCAAATTAGAACTCACCAACCACAATGGCAGTTTTCTTCGTTTCTGCGGTCGCCATCATAAGTTTCTGGTAACGGAATGGAAACGTTTTGGTACGAAGACCAGTAGAACACGAGATTATTCACATGTTGAATGAATAGGTCGTGATTACCTATCCAGGCAATATGTACCTAGTACCTGAAATGGGTCGATGAGAGATAATGTTTGATTTCACTTCGTACGTTCCGATAGTGCAAGATCGAAGTGTCATCCAAATTTTGAGTGGGCATCGTCAATTGCCATTATTCCGTTTGGAATGATCCGAGCTCAACCTCCTCGGATACCCCAGGTGCCAAGCCAAATCATACGATGTACTTCGTACTTACTGTACATCGTACTCGTACTATAGAACGAAAACATCAATTTGATATATTACATAACAAAACCGCAGCACACAGAATCTTTGTACCGGAAAGTCCGGAATACGATTATATAATATTAATGGTATCTCAAACGTATTAACCTTGTCTCAAGGCCTTCCATGCAACTCCTAAACGCCTCAGTGTCGGTACTGTTGCCCGACCTGTAGTGACTATGTACTCATTTTCTTCCAAGACCCTTCCTATCTCAACATAGCTTTCAACAGCAACTCTCATTGACATTCTAGCGTCTTCTGGGATTTGTTCGATAGCAGGGCGAGCCTCCCGATAGATGGCAAACCCCTTTTTCAACAATCTGCCTCTGAGCTTGTCAATGATTGGCCCGGTAGGATTTTCCACAACATCCTGAGGCTTCAACCCTTCTTCCTCGAGCCAGGAAGTCGGAAGGTAGACTCTTCCGATTTCAGCATCCGTTGTTACATCTCTACAGATGTTGATGTACTGTAGAGCTATTCCCATGCGGGCCCCAGCTTGAATTAGCTCGTCACGTCTGTGTGATAGCACGGTAGCAGAAGTATGATAGAAAACTAGTTCCAAGCACATCTCAGCTACTGTCCCAGCAACTCTTCTGCTATATATCGTAAGATTATGCTCATCTCTGATAGGAAATTCACCAGTCTTTTTGTACTGATTTGCTTGATGAAATTGTAAATCCGTCTTGAATCCTTCCAGTAACTCGTACAAAGGCTTGGAAGATAGAATATGAGTTGGTAGAAGGCGAAGTGTTCGATATAAAGATGGTGAAAACCCATTTTGAATGTATTTATCAACGTCAGAACGGCATGAAGCAGCCATATTGGCCGTTTCTTTTGATGCATACACTAGGTCAAGGTAGTGAGTGAGTTTGGCGATCCATTCCCGAGCCTCAGCATCAGTGTTGTTTGCATCATCAACAAGATCATCAGCAACTCTACAAAAAGAGTATCTAATCCAAATTAGCAATATTCAAAACAAAATTCATCACAGTACTGTAGGAAAGCTATACATACAACAGGATCAAGTCAATTCGAAGACGGCCGTGAAAGACGGAGCTTGCCAGATAAAAACTTCTGCTCTTTTGTCTCAGTAGCTCCGCAGCCTCTTGAATACCTGCAATTCGAAGGTTATCATACTTGCGTGTGTCTGTTAAAAGTGCACACACCAGCATTTTGGGAGAAGGACAGTCAGGAACAGTCGGGAACAAGGTAGGAAACGTAAACAAAATAGCCAATGCATGATCGAAAGCGATGAGACCAAACACAATAAGTATGTTGGTTGCAAGAAAAAACACAGCTTCTTCTATGTCAAGGCCATCCCATAAGTGCAGACCTAATTTCGTCCCTGTTTCGATGCTCCACGTGCCTCTTTTCAATGCCAATGTATCAACTATCCATAAATATAGAGTGGATAGAGTAATTGGCAATAGAGTAGTTGTGTAGGGAAGTCTAATCAAGAATGCGTGAGATAGACTCCATAGTAGTAGGGCAAATGGCCCTGCCCAAGCCAGAATCAATCCTAAATACGTTCCTTTGGCATCTTGCACGATGAGAGAGCCTCCTGTTAAGATCAGACATCCAATAATTAGTTGGCCCGAATTTCGCGCAGATTTCAAAGAAACCGACAGAGCCAGAGGGACCCAAGGTTTCCGTTTCTTTTCACCCGGACGTTCCCAGCCCCCAAGATAGGTCGAATGAAAGACTGGTTTGCTCAAGAGCAAGTAGAGAAGACTGGTATTGTATGTCTGTATCACAAAGAAAAATAGTTCTTCGGCGGGGATCAAAAATAGTTTGGGACCAATGATCACATTAGGTGGATATGTCCATATTTTTCGCTTTATGAGATATGAATCCCAAGGAATGGTTGAAACGACAGCAATAGCTATGAGGAACAGAATCTTGTAGAGATCTATCCGCTGGATGAAAGGCCGATAAATGAATGTTAAGATGATGGCTGGCGGGATATTATATTTGAGATGGCTTGATAGTGGTCAGTATCCCATTCGAGATATAGGGGTTGGTGTACTAACACTAAGGCATATTCGAAGCCCATTTTGACGTGGGGAAAAGTTAAAATTGATGGTACCCAGATCTGCAGAGTGTAGACATCTCTATACAAAACCCAAGACTAGAGACTCTATCTAGACTCTAGAGATAGAAAACGGAAGAAGTGATGCGGGGAGACTAAGAGGTAATATGGGATGAGAAGAGATTTCTCACTAATTGGGATTGAATGAAGAAAAGTTGGAACGGAAGTGACATCCCAGTAAAGCAGCAAAAGCTGGTAAAACGGAAGAAAGGTAGTAAGCACCTGGGAGGTAGTAAAGTGGTAGAAACCTAGATTCGCGGCTTGGGCATTTCCGCTGGTAGAATGTATGGTGTATGCGGTTACAGGAAGGGGGCTCATAATGGTTCAATGCCTAGGTACCCAGATACCTACTAATAAGGTCAAGTGAGGTGTATTGCGGCACCTTCCGGGGGTTTTATGCTATACTAACTATACTTACTGTACTATACTATACTACTCTGAACAAAATAGACTAATGATAACAACAACATCAGTAGATTTTCTTTTTCTTTTTTGATCTAGTGTTGTTGTCATTAGTCCGTTATGAGTTTAGTATTGATGCTAGCTGAGTCATCCTCGCGCTTGTTGCCCGGATAACATATTTTTCCAGTGTGTCGACGAGGTAGATAATAGACAGCCATGGAACAATGAGTTGATGTAAAGCTTGAATTTCGGGAGATACGATATAGTATTATAGGTATATATCAGATATATATCACTAGGTAGTAGGTGTGGTAGGTCGCTGAGATAGTACGGATACATAGGTACAGTAAGTAATGAATATTACCTAGGTACGAAGTAACCAACATCAAGAAAGTGGTGGTGCGTCACGGAATATAATCCTTGTCAATGATTAATAATAAGTTTCATAAGTTTCATGTCGTCATTACTTTTGTATCTTTGATGTATTATGTAATCTCCGATTGATTGCTCTTCTTGTCGGAAAGGACGATCTCTTCCTTCACTTCCCCATCTCATCATTCATCATTCATCCGAGTTTCCCATCAACAATTCCCATCAGTCCTTTCCGAGCTATGTAAGATCTTAGTAAGCTCAATCTCGATCGCGATTGCCTAGTACATCGTAGAGAAGGTATCAGGCCATTGGTCATTGCATCGTTCATTGCATCGTATGCTAAAAGTAACAGGGTGTCGTCATACCTCACATGTTCCTTCTCCTCTAGCACTCTGCACTCTGCACTCTGCACTCTACCTTGATTAACTACCGCTCCATTCTATGTTCTATTCTTTTCATTTGTCAAGGGGCGAGGGGTCATCCTAAACCCTTCGCCCCGACGGAGGTAAAAACACAAAGAGCTTCCATGAGAGAAATTAAGTAGCTCCTTTCTAAATCTACACTAATCGCCTACATACCGTAATATCACACCAACTTATCTTAAGGAAAACTCTTCACAATTGTTACCGTATCTACGCATTCCTTAGGTACCTACCTATATCACACTCATGTCAATTCATCATCACTGTTATTAAATCAATTCATTCTCCATATGTTCATGTTAAGGAAATCTCAATCACAGTATTTCTTCGACTCTGCTGTTCATGACGTGCGTCAATGAGAAAAAGAACGCGTTGAGGAAACAACATCCATATCTTCATGGAAACTTTGCACCGATACATCGCACACAACCTTTGACACCTTGTAACTACACTGGTGTCATACCAAAGGAATTGGCAGGCGGGGAATACGTACGCAATGGAGGAAACCCAGTGACAAACGAAGATCTGGGTAGGGATGCACATTGGTTCGATGGCGATGGCATGCTCAGTGGTGTAGCATTTCGAAAAGCGGAGGATGGTAGTGCACATCCGTACTTTGTCAATCAATACATCCTTACCGATGCATACCTCTCGAGCATCTCCACGCCATCTCTCCGTTTGCCTATCCTTCCGAGCATAGCTACGCTGGTCAATCCCGCCTCAACTCTTCTCACGATTATTCTGCGCATATTCCGAACTATTTTCCTTGTCATCCTCTCCAATCTACCTGGATCTGCAAAGGCAATCAAAAAGATCAGCGTAGCAAATACCAGTGTACTATACCATGATGGCAGAGCCTTAGCAACATGCGAGAGTGGACCGCCGATGCGTCTTTCCTTACCAGGCTTAGAGACTGTTGGCTGGTACGATGGTGTTCGAGCAGAAGGAGAGCCGATCACAGACACAAAGTCTGGCGAAGTCTTTGGTGGAAGTGGACTCATTGGTTTCATGAAGGAATGGACAACAGCACATCCTAGAATCGATCCTATCACGAACGAGCTTATCCTATTTCATTCTACATTCGTTACACCATTTGTACATTATTCTATTATACCTAGTACACATCATAATAATTCTCCTAATAAGCTTCCACGACTCGTCAACGCAACTGTCCCTGGAGTCAAATCCGCAAAGATGATGCATGATTTTGGTGTATCCCTTAGTCATACCATAATCATGGATCTCCCTCTTTCGCTTGATCCTATGAATCTTGCCCGTAACGAACCTGTGGTCTCATATGAACCATCCGGGATTTCCAGGTTTGGTGTTTTCCCGAGATGGAAACCTGAGCATATTCGATGGTTTGAAACAAATGCTTG